GAATAGTATCTAATCCTCCGTACATATACACACTGGGGTCTACCGGACCCCAACAAAAGATTGAAAGCGTGGCAAATTACGGAACTTTTTGCGATGGTTTCAAGACTCCATGTAAATTTAGTTTATACCCCTCACTACCTAAACCCCAAACGGCAGAATCAAGCATTCATTAGTTTATGACTGACAAGCGTGTGTTAGTAGGTCGCGGGGCCTAATATACGCCAGTGTGTGTTGCGAGTAACTTATTTGTGAATTTGTATGTATCGAATAATTTGATACCAATTTTTCTGTGTTTGTATTTTATTTTACTTTTTTGATAAGAGAATTTATTAGATTTTATTCAAGAATATTCGTTTTCGTTGATAGAATTTTTTTTCCACTAAAACATTTTCATTGAATTTTTTGTATGGGTACAATGTAACAGAATATTTATTTGTTTTTTAGTAAAATATTAAAATTTTTAAGTGTTAGGTTTTGCTTTTTGAATAAATAAACCTCTATTAATATCCTAAAATGTGTATATTTTTTTTTTGTGCGTTAAGAACCAGCAATAAATGCTTGGGGTATCATAAACCCCAGTGTGTTTGGTGTTTTTAAAAAATATGTGTATGTGCGGAGGGTTAAATCTTGAATAAAGATAAGCAACATGGCAACATTGACTGGAAGTGCTGCCAGTGTTATCGGCTGAAAGTTGTTTTTACTTAACACATAACCTGAAAAAAATTAATATTTTTGTTATTTGAGTTGCGTATTTATATGGTGTAAAAAATAATGGCAATAAAAATATTTTTTTCTACTGACGTTTCATAATACGCTCATTAAACGATTAGAATCTGTTTTATAATGAACTTCATTATGATACAAATTTTCATCATGATACAGACTTTTTAGCCACTGGAATCGAGTTATTTCGAACATAAACAATGTTTATATAAATATAACAGACTTGTTTTGGAATTTTTGGATTGCTTCTATTAGTATTTACCAAAAGAAACAACAAAAAATTAATAAACCGGGTGCGGAATTTATGCCCAAATGACGTCTAGATCTTAATTCTCGAAATTATCAATAGATGTCACCACCAGTTGAGAAGTTTACTATTCTTAAAATAAATATGTATTTCGTTTATCAATGGAAGTAGAAAAAAAAGTGTATGCAGCTCTCATGAAACGGCCATTAATACACTCGCATGTTATATACGAAACGAGCCGCAGGCGTGGCTATCATTACATGATCATTGCATAATATACTAATTTCTGCCAAACTGTAATAATAGCTCGTATAAAACACCGAATATATTTTTAAAATCTAATAATTAGTTAATGCACTTGTTTAAGTATATATTTTGAAAATATAAAAAAGATATATTAACTCTCTATATTTTGGTTGTGCCCTATGAGGAGGAATTACGGAAAAACTTGTTCATTTATTCATATTTCAGGTACTTCTTATTTAAATGTTTTCTGCAACATCACATGAGATATGTTGTTAATTGTTGCTGATTGGAGAATTTGAGATGGCAGTAAAAGTGTAGGCATTGACAAATAATGCCCTTTTCAACAGCCTAAAAGAGGTAGCAAAGTACAGGTAGAGAACGCAAAATATTATTTCTATTAAATGCATATTGCAATCCATCTATTTGCATGTATTAAAACCTGTTTTAAGAAGATGTGAAAAGTATAAACCCTCGTGAAACGAACTGTAGGAAACATTCCTATTGACAATAGGAATGTTCGATATTTTTTGTTATTCATTTATTTAAACTGAAATCGAGAGATTTTATGATTAGAAAACGATCAAAAAAAATTTGAGCGCAAAATATTAATATTTGCGTTTGTTGCGAGCAGTTAAAAATCAACGATCGGCGCTAGGATAAAAAACGTACCTCTACGCGAGACTAGGCTGCATGATGTCAATAGCCAGGTACGCCACGTGAATTCATATGCCCTCTGTATCGACCTTTACGCAAACGCTGATCCGATTAGCCCAATCACCACCTGATGTAATTTGTCTTTTTTCAATCGTGTTCATTGAAGAAAGATGGTAACAGACAGCTTGTGATCGGATCAGCGTTTTCGTAAAGGCTCATACGGAAAGTATACGAATTCACATGGCGTGCCGGCTACTGACGTCCCGCGGCCTAGTCTCGCCCAGAGCTGGGCAGTAATTGCTTTGAAAATGCTTGAAAAAGTGCTTTAAGCACAATAGTGCTTCGAGCACAGTGCTTGCAAGCACTTTTAAAATACAGTGCTTGGTAATTGGTAATCGAAGCACTCTATAAAAAGTGATTGGTAATTGGTAATTGATTTTCGCGTTTCAAGCCATTTAAAGTGCTTTCAAGCACTAAAAGTGCTTGCAAGCACTTAAAAGGCTTGCAAGCACTCAAAAGAGCTTGCAAGCACTAAAAATCAAGTCAAGTCCTTGGTAACAATTTAAGGCAGCATGAGCTTTAATGTGATTAGCTGGTTGAAGGCCGTCTAAGCATCGGCAATAAGGAAACATTTGTGTTGTGTGTTGTGTTAAGGTTTATTTATTATATAACTAAAGATAAAGACTTCAATAAACTGTGGTAGTATAGTATATATAGTAGTGTTAGTGAATAGTGTTGCATATTGCATATTGCCTTTGCTTTGCCAACGAGGTGCGAGAATAACTCAACTATAATACAGTGGCGGTTCCTCCATAAGAGCACATGTGCACGTGCACTCCCAAATTAATATCAAACAACTTTAAATTTAATTTTATCATTCTTCAAATTTTAACATTCTACCTGTAAAGTATTAATTTAAAAAATTAGTGGCCAAATGCGCCAGCAAAACAAACGCAACCGGCAACGCTGGAATCACAGCGTCCACCGCGTCGCTTGATCGCCCCGTTCACTGCACATTTCAATATTAAATCCAATTGGTGGAACTATGCCCCCCCGCACTCTTTGTTCCCCGCGAAGGTCCAGCGACGTTCGATGTTTTAAGCTGGCTGGTGTGCACATGTAGTCAGTGCACTTTAGGATCGGAAGCTGTTGTTTTATATTTATTTCGATTCGAGCGCGATTTAACTGAAAACTGTGTGTAGAATGGCGGGATTTCTGAACCCCGATAGCCTTAGCGTGCAATATTTAAAAACAATTAAATTTTCTTCGCTTTCTTTGGAGGAAAAAATCCAAATCAAATGTGTCGGCCGTCCAAAGCCAAATTTAATAATCACCAACATAACAAAATGCAAAAGTCGTGATTATAAACGAACTTTTAAAATGGAAACTTACGAAAAACTGACTGGTTGTGCGGTTGTGATGTTAGTAATAGTCTTTACTGTTTCCCCTGTTTGTTATTTGGAAGCGATGAAGCATCAGAATGGACAAAATCCGGCGTTAAAGATTTAGTACATTTATCCGAAAAAATTAAAAAACATCAAAACTCAAAATCACATCTTACTCTTATCTTTCAATACAAAACGTGTCTGTGAGAATTGTGAGATTGAAAACTATAATACATTTATGTATAAAAACAATTGTTAGACCAGGACGATGTACTCAGCGAGGTAAGTTACTTTGTTACTTAATTTCTAGTTTATTGATATAAGATCCTTCAATTTCCACGATTTGATAGACCGAAAAAAGTATTAAATTGAGCTTAGTTGGTTGTTTGGTAGGGTAGATATGAAATCCCTTAACAATATTTTTAATTATTGGTAGGTAAACACATCACATAACTCATACGATCACTTACAATAAATTATTTTTTTTAAGGCCTAAAATAAACACTTCTGGGCGTGGCACCCCGGAAAATTTCGCGCCTCCGGCGGCGCCTGCGGCGGGCATCCCCCTTTCGGCATTTATTATGAATTACAAATTATGTGCACCCCCAATATGTTATACCACGAGCCGCCACTGACTATATAGCTGGCCAAAGGCAATATGCAACACTATTCACCGACACTATACACTATACTACCACAGTTTATTAAAGTCTTTATCTTTAGTTATAATAATGTTAATATTTGATGATACAGTGTAGTGTAGTGTATTTAGAGTAAAGAGACGAAGACTAGTAAGAAATTAAGAACAAAAAACTCAACATATCAACATCAACCAGAAACGTTAGAACTTATGTTTCAAATTGCTTTTCCCTAGATCCCAATTCAGCAACATCTTTATTTTAAAAATAAATTAGAAGCAATTGGCAAAGTAGTGCTTGGTAATTGGTAATTTTTTTGCACCTTTTGAGTAATTGGTGCTTGGTAATTGAATTGTACAATTACTTTCCTTGGTAATTGATAATTGCAAGCACTCAGAATTTCCAAAGTACTTGGTGCTTGATGCTGGCAATTCCTTTTCCTAAGGGCTTGGTGCTTAGTGCTCCAAGCACTTTTTTCGAGTGCTTTGCCCAGCTCTGGTCTCGCCTACAGGTACGTTTTTTATTCTGCGCCGATCGTTGATTTTTAACTGCTTGCAACAGACGCAAATATTAATATTTTGCTCTCAAGTTTTTTTTAATCGTTTTTTAATAACAAAATCTCTCGATTTTAGTTAAAATAAAAAAAATGTCGAACCTGCCTACTAGGCAGGACACTGTATTGCATGAGCAATGTGTAGTTTATAATAATAAATTATTTGAGCAACAACCACACGGGACCAACATTTATTAATAGGACATATCGAGGTATATATTAATAAGCCCAAAGAGAATATCCCAATCCTTGTCAATTAAACTATTCTGGTTTGATGACTAATATATTTCCTGAACCAGCTTCTAATTTGTCTAGTACAGAATTGCTTATAGCTCTCGGGGCTTGTATTATAATGGGATCTTCCGCAAAGCGTTTCATGTTATTGACTGCTCACTATACCTATTTATTATCAAATCAATTTCATTAGTCAGTAGACAGCTATGCTAAAGTATTTCCCCATAAATTTAGTTAGGTTATCATATGTCAAATTGATGTAATCTATTTGGAGTGACTTCTCAAGATAATGTAGGGTAAAAAAATAGGGTAGTACTTACTTGGAAACCTATAGAATGGTACTGAATAACAAGCAATGCTATCTATGGAAGGGTTCGGATTGACTTGGTCTGCTGAACACATACACATCGAATTGAAAATGCAAGAACTTGTTTCTGCTTCTTCGTCACATGATACCGCACTTAGACACATGAGGTGCCATGTTAACCACATTGTCCCTGAAAAGAAATAAAAAAATATTTTAAAATGAGGTTATATTCACGAACTGGAATGTTTGTTTGACACAAGAATTTTTATTGTGTAAATACAGGGTATCCAACGGTGGATGGAGTATTAGACGTTTATGGAGAACTAAAAAGCGGATCATTTTGAAAATTTGGCAACCGGGATAAACGACCATAATCTACACTTTAAAAATATTTTTGTTTATGCGGTGTTGCCGCTTCTACCCTAAACCAGTGGCAACAGCGCTATTTTAAATGGAACACCCTGTATCTGATTATTCTGAGCAGATTTCATGTGATATACCCTATACCTAAGTTCAACTGTTTTGGAATTATTCACAGTTGAAAATCGACTTTTTGCAACTCTGACAGGCTGTAAAACCTGAACGGTTAATTTTAGAGAAAAACCGATTTTACATTCCTATCTTAGATTTTTATAAACTATCATTTGATACCAACTTCAAATTTAATCCATGATTAAAAATTCCAATTAAATTTAATCTCCGGGTAAATTCAAAGTTGGTGTCAAATGATAGTTCATGAAAATGTAAGATAGGAATGTGAAATTGGTTTTTCTCTTAAATTAACCGTTCAGGTTTTACAGCCTGTCAAAGTTGCAAAAAGTCAATTTTCAACTGTCAATAATTCCAAAACAATTAAACTTAGGTATAGGGTATATCACAAAAAATCTGCTCAGAATTTTACGTAGAATCAAAATATGTAATCACATACAGGGTATTCCATTTAAAATAGCGTTGTTGCCACTGGTTTAGAGTAGAAGCGGCAACACCGCATAAACAAAAAATTTTTTAAAGTGTAGATCATGGCTGTTTACCCCGGTTGCCAAATTTTCAAAATGATCCGCTTTTCAGTTCTCCATAAACGTCTAATACGCCATCCACCGTGGGACACCCTGTATAGTTGGACTGGATTCTCAATAAGAAAAAATAAATGACTATGCAAGTACGTGAAAAACGTGTTTTTCTGAGTCTAACCGAGAACGGAAAAACTGTCGGTTCCAGGGTTAAGGTGAAAGATTTATCGTATTAAGGTCAGACAAGCATAAATATAAATGAAGAGGAATTAAATTTACGGCTGTTAGCAATTAGTTGCGGTTAGTGTAAAGTCCTCTTTTTTGAGTACCTGACATCATTGGTATGTATTATGTTTACAACACAAGGATCTGCCGTGCAAAAAATTCCACCACCATCGACAGTTTTTCTTTGCAATCTGCCCAATAAAGTCAGTTATTAAAAAAAAAAAACAAACTTAAGATTTATCAACTAATTGCTTTTAAATTTTGTAATGACAAAACAAGCATTTATATTTTTTTGAGTTTGGATTTTATTTCTGAACGTGGCATTTTTGAAAGTTTTTTTATGTATATTTAATGATACTATAGGTTTTCCACTCAATTAGGATTAGCCTCAGGTCTTTGAATTTTTTGTTTGGTAGGAAAGATATCGAATTGGGTGATAGGCAACGCAAAACGTTGGATTTCGAAGGATTATTTTCACGGTAAAAGATACGGACACTGAAGGATTAAATTTGTCGATGAAGAACATCAATCACCTGGGTTTATTCTTTTTGTCATTATAGTTACGAGAACTCGGGACATTTGCTAGAAAATCGGACGAAGTTTATTTTTAATGACACAGCTTTGTCAACATGACTTCAAATTCAATTGTAACCGATCGGGTTAACTTTTTGTTCCGCATGCAGTATAAATCAGTATTGTTGCATTACAAATTCTGGGTGCAATGAGCTATGTTTCGGCAATCAATATTGTTACGAAATTGCATCGATGTTCCCTCCAGGACTCTAGGAATCGAGTTATTTACGTCTAGCGGAGAATTCTATTCTTTTCTAGTAGGGTGTCGCGTTTTTCTAGATAAATTCCGAGTATAATGTCAGCTATAACTGCGCGCATAATTACCAGTCAGAATCAGTCAAAATAAGAGCTTTGTTGAAGTCAATAAATATTTTTGTAGTCAGTAAATTTGAAATATGATGGAGATAGAAAAGTTCTTGACTGGTTCTCAGAAATCTTTCATTTTCATGAATGGAAAAAAAAACGCATTTACCTATCCGTTCGGAAAATTCCACCTCAATTATCTCAGAAACAAAATATTTGGAAAAAAATTCCTGAAACACGTTTTCAAGCAAAATTCACTTTCTTACTTGATATATAAGCTATGACTCAACCCTTCGCGAGGGAGTGAGTTCTTCATCAAAAAATTCAACTTTCAACTCTAATACTGAGGAAAACCACCTATTTAAAATAGTATTTCTTTCAATCTTAACTTTTTAAAAAAAACTTTTACGTAATAAAAGTAAATATTGCAACCATGTACTGCGCCACAGAGTTTAGGTTTAAGGGACAACGAGGGTACCAAACCGAACGGTAGGTAAAGAAAAAGCGAATAGGCATTAGAATGGAGAACAAGCAGGGACTGGTCCCTTATAAACGCGTCTCTGTAATTATTCATTATTCAATTTTCATTTTATTTTGCATTAAATTGTTTGTTCAATCCAATTTGTTATTAGTGTGTGTGTCAAGGAGCGAGCGATAACCAGGTCAGTTGAATAATTATTGTTATTTTGTTTTTGATAGTTCAATTATTTATACAAGTATAATTTTTTTTCATTTTTATGTATTTTTGTTTATTTATAACATTTTTTATAACATTGTTTATGTATTTAACCAAAATCGTTTCATGCTGTAAACAACACAGATAAAGAGTAAATTAAAACCTAAAAAATTATGTGCTGTCTTTTTGTGCTGAGATTTTGATTTTGTGTATTCAGAGCGTGCATTAGAGCCTTGTTGAATTTACTAACATTTTCCTACCCTGACGAGAGAATATCCTAACAAATTGAAATAATCAATCTAGAGATATTGGCTCAAAAACAACTATAGCTGGGTAGCATCCCGTATGGGACCTCAGTACCTTCCAGCAGACCGGCTAACTGACCAAAAACTCTTCAGTATTGATTATAGGTAGTGTTGATTGAATGTAGCGTGTGTAATTAAAATTTCAGCATAAGAACAAAGGGTGGTACCTAATTTAAACTTTCATTGACTTAAATTATTGAATTATTGACTCACAATTATTATTTAAAATAACACAGTATGTTTCAATTTTTGGGGAATGTTAGATCGAGGTTTTCTCTGCCGTTCTCTTTTCCCTCGAGAATTCTAGGTCGAGAACGGTACGTTTTTCTTTGATAATAAAGAAAAGGTTTCACAAATTTTTCGTTTCTTTTACATATCACAACTTCCCTTAAATTTCCCAAATATTTGCTATGTCAGGCGCATGTCCAGTATGTAAAATTGAGTAAGTCTACACAACGTAGGTCCTATTGGTTTTTCATTTCGTTTTTCAGAAGATTTGTTGTTTAAAAGGCAATACAAATTTTCATCGTTCAATCCTACTGAGCGAACCCGGGTATGTTATACTACAATATTGTCACAACTTTTACTTCGTTGTAACGGGGTGCGGAGCAAGGGGGTCAGATAAATAGACACTCGCTTGGTATTTATATTATATCGAGAGTGGAATCCGAAATTCCTTATTCTGGGATGTGATGCTCTTGCACGATGTTCCACTGTCCAAGATCAAGAGAACGGGATTTTTTTCAAGACAAGCCTGCGCATTAGCTACGTATTCTGCTACCAATCTGTTACCTGTCATACATTTTATTAACTAGACTACATAGTGTGTCACGAAAATAGATCTTGATTAACAATTATTTATCATCTAATAGGAGATTTGAAGCAGGCTTAAGAGAAAGCGGACAATGAAATTCCTGCTCAATAGAGTTTAATTTTTCTGTGATTTCTTCTCACAGCGGTTGGACTGTTTGGTGGGTAAAAGTTGACGAAAATAGTTTGGTGGTGAAACACTTACTGCAACACGTGATTTCTTACAAGCTGTTTTATCAATGTAAAACCTTTGAATATAAAACTACAGGAAGGAGCATAACTTCGAATCTGCGCGACCAAAATATGTGGAGGTTGCATATGGCCGACTAGTATTTCCGGTTTGGCAGTGGCGTATATTTATTTAAATATGATTGTAAATATTATGACTCACTCTTTTCTCACTAATTCCAATACTTATTATCACTTAAAACCGCTAAAATCCATTAAACATCCACTTGAATGAGGACACAGCGAACCACCAAAACAAATGATGAGTCCAAACTTGGAGGCTCAAAATGGCCGTTTCCGTCCCTGCGTTGTCTGTAGTGACAGATAGAAAACGCTCCTTCCTGTAGTTTTATATTCAAAGTGTAAAACTTATTCTTCGTAGACATTTTTCAACATAAAAAAATGCGGATTATTCACCAGCTTTAAAGAAATATCTTTAAATTAAAGTGGTCATATTTTAAAGTGTTCGGTATCAATAAAGGGGTGGATGAATAATTATTTGTTTTGGTGGATTCACGTTTCCGAGAATCTTCTCTGCTTTGAGAATTGGTGTGCGGAGCGAGTGATCAGAATACAAAAGAATCGATAACGAAATAATCATGTAAGTACCAAGGGCACAATTTTAATTGTATTTGCGGCAGGTCGCGTGGAAATTAAAGTATAGATAGGTACGAGGTGCAGCCGAGAGCTTTAACCACGCGGAGGGCCTCAAACACTATTGGCGCCTGTGGTATATACAAAATTATATGTACAACCGCCAGTCCGCCAGTGATTATTTAATTCAAATAGGAATTTAAAAGAAAAAATTAATTAACAATGGCTCAAGAGAGAAAAATTATCATTAATAGCAGGTAAAACAAGAAGCTTTCAAGAGTAATTTATTGGAAGAATTAAGTTATAGCAGGTAACTACCTAATATGAAGGACAACTTGCTAAAATTCACCAACTGATCAATCAATGGATATACATATCACCTCTGTAGAGCAAAAAGGGGCCAACCCGCAATTGAACCATTTTTGAGATAACCGCCATAACATTTTCATACCCCACCTCACGTTGT